ATTAAAACTATTAAAAAATATATCAAAGTTTAAAAATACTTTAAAAAGTTAAACCACAGAAACAATCATTCCCGGACTGTTGGGCATTCAAAGTTGTGAAATTTACACATAAATCAGATACATAAAAGGAATCTATTCTGTAAAGGAAATGGATTTCATCTTTGACCCAAATTTGAAATGAGGAACGGGATTTCAGAACAAGTAATTTAACGCAGCAATAAGTAAGGGAGTCTTCGATCAAGCCGTTTTCATTCCTAATCAATTAATACGCTCTTCTTGAAAAAAGAAGAAGAAGACAGCAACTGTATAGTTAAATAATATCAAAAGTAAAAATGCACTTGAGGTGAAAGGACTTCTTTTTTTTTTTTCTGTATTTGGATTTGATATTTTTTTATATATCTGTTTTGTTTATTTATTGGGTTTATAAAGTATTTAATGAATCTAAAAATTAGAGTATTTAATAAATCTAAAAATTAGTTGTACTAACTATAAACTAGCTCGGAAGCCTCAGTTAATAATAATAATAATAATAATATTAAAAGTAAAAGCTTGCATGATTCCATTTTGAATTCTACCAACCCATTTATAAAACACATTAAAAAAAAAAACGTAAGGGGCTATATAAAAAAACGTAAGGGTCTATATATTAGAAGATGATCAAAGAGCTAGGGTTTAATATTTTTTTACCCAGGCATCTTATCTTTTGTTAGTTGGACGAGGTCTATGCAATAATTGATGCAGTAAATCTACACAGCAATTTTTGTCAAGCTCGTGCGATATAAGGATTTGCCACTCGTTCTACCTTAATTAGAACTCTAATAGAAGAAAAACATATTATTAAAGTGGACGGTCTCTTTAAGAGTTGGATGAAGAAAAGGGTTAGGCAGTAGTGATACATGAAATACAGATTTATTTTTGTATTTTAAAAGAATTTTTTTAAATTTACATTTTTTAAGTATTTTTAATCATTTTGATAGTTTAATATTAAAAATAATTTTTTTTAAAATATAAAATACTTTAAAAAATAACAATTAATATATTTCCAAATAACCCCCGCAAATTAAGTTATTAGGCAAAGTATTTTGTTTAATTATCAAACCATATAAAAACAATTTCTAACCATTAAATGTGTATTTAATAGCATATTAAAGATTACTTTTCAAAATATTTTTTGTTTAGAAATATATTAAAAAAATAATTTTTAAATAATTATCAAACCATATAAAAACAATTTCTAACCATTAAATGTGTATTTAATAGCATATTAAAGATTACTTTTCAAAATATTTTTTGTTTAGAAATATATTAAAAAAATAATTTTTAAATAATTATCAAACCATATAAAAACAATTTCTAACCATTAAATGTGTATTTAATAGCATATTAAAGATTACTTTTCAAAATATTTTTTGTTTAGAAATATATTAAAAAAATAATTTTTAAATAATTATCAAACCATATAAAAACAATTTCTAACCATTAAATGTGTATTTAATAGCATATTAAAGATTACTTTTCAAAATATTTTTTGTTTAGAAATATATTAAAAAAATAATTTTTAAATAATTATCAAACCATATAAAAACAATTTCTAACCATTAAATGTGTATTTAATAGCATATTAAAGATTACTTTTCAAAATATTTTTTGTTTAGAAATATATTAAAAAAATAATTTTTAAATAATTATCAAACCATATAAAAACAATTTCTAACCATTAAATGTGTATTTAATAGCATATTAAAGATTACTTTTCAAAATATTTTTTGTTTAGAAATATATTAAAAAAATAATTTTTAAATAATTATCAAACCATATAAAAACAATTTCTAACCATTAAATGTGTATTTAATAGCATATTAAAGATTACTTTTCAAAATATTTTTTGTTTAGAAATATATTAAAAAAATAATTTTTAAATAATTATCAAACCATATAAAAACAATTTCTAACCATTAAATGTGTATTTAATAGCATATTAAAGATTACTTTTCAAAATATTTTTTGTTTAGAAATATATTAAAAAAATAATTTTTAAATAATTATCAAACCATATAAAAACAATTTCTAACCATTAAATGTGTATTTAATAGCATATTAAAGATTACTTTTCAAAATATTTTTTGTTTAGAAATATATTAAAAAAATAATTTTTAAATAATTATCAAACCATATAAAAACAATTTCTAACCATTAAATGTGTATTTAATAGCATATTAAAGATTACTTTTCAAAATATTTTTTGTTTAGAAATATATTAAAAAAATAATTTTTAAATAATTATCAAACCATATAAAAACAATTTCTAACCATTAAATGTGTATTTAATAGCATATTAAAGATTACTTTTCAAAATATTTTTTGTTTAGAAATATATTAAAAAAATAATTTTTAAATAATTATCAAACCATATAAAAACAATTTCTAACCATTAAATGTGTATTTAATAGCATATTAAAGATTACTTTTCAAAATATTTTTTGTTTAGAAATATATTAAAAAAATAATTTTTAAATAATTATCAAACCATATAAAAACAATTTCTAACCATTAAATGTGTATTTAATAGCATATTAAAGATTACTTTTCAAAATATTTTTTGTTTAGAAATATATTAAAAAAATAATTTTTAAATAATTATCAAACCATATAAAAACAATTTCTAACCATTAAATGTGTATTTAATAGCATATTAAAGATTACTTTTCAAAATATTTTTTGTTTAGAAATATATTAAAAAAATAATTTTTAAATAATTATCAAACCATATAAAAACAATTTCTAACCATTAAATGTGTATTTAATAGCATATTAAAGATTACTTTTCAAAATATTTTTTGTTTAGAAATATATTAAAAAAATAATTTTTAAATAATTATCAAACCATATAAAAACAATTTCTAACCATTAAATGTGTATTTAATAGCATATTAAAGATTACTTTTCAAAATATTTTTTGTTTAGAAATATATTAAAAAAATAATTTTTAAATAATTATCAAACCATATAAAAACAATTTCTAACCATTAAATGTGTATTTAATAGCATATTAAAGATTACTTTTCAAAATATTTTTTGTTTAGAAATATATTAAAAAAATAATTTTTAAATAATTATCAAACCATATAAAAACAATTTCTAACCATTAAATGTGTATTTAATAGCATATTAAAGATTACTTTTCAAAATATTTTTTGTTTAGAAATATATTAAAAAAATAATTTTTAAATAATTATCAAACCATATAAAAACAATTTCTAACCATTAAATGTGTATTTAATAGCATATTAAAGATTACTTTTCAAAATATTTTTTGTTTAGAAATATATTAAAAAAATAATTTTTAAATAATTATCAAACCATATAAAAACAATTTCTAACCATTAAATGTGTATTTAATAGCATATTAAAGATTACTTTTCAAAATATTTTTTGTTTAGAAATATATTAAAAAAATAATTTTTAAATAATTATCAAACCATATAAAAACAATTTCTAACCATTAAATGTGTATTTAATAGCATATTAAAGATTACTTTTCAAAATATTTTTTGTTTAGAAATATATTAAAAAAATAATTTTTAAATAATTATCAAACCATATAAAAACAATTTCTAACCATTAAATGTGTATTTAATAGCATATTAAAGATTACTTTTCAAAATATTTTTTGTTTAGAAATATATTAAAAAAATAATTTTTAAATAATTATCAAACCATATAAAAACAATTTCTAACCATTAAATGTGTATTTAATAGCATATTAAAGATTACTTTTCAAAATATTTTTTGTTTAGAAATATATTAAAAAAATAATTTTTAAATAATTATCAAACCATATAAAAACAATTTCTAACCATTAAATGTGTATTTAATAGCATATTAAAGATTACTTTTCAAAATATTTTTTGTTTAGAAATATATTAAAAAAATAATTTTTAAATAATTATCAAACCATATAAAAACAATTTCTAACCATTAAATGTGTATTTAATAGCATATTAAAGATTACTTTTCAAAATATTTTTTGTTTAGAAATATATTAAAAAAATAATTTTTAAATAATTATCAAACCATATAAAAACAATTTCTAACCATTAAATGTGTATTTAATAGCATATTAAAGATTACTTTTCAAAATATTTTTTGTTTAGAAATATATTAAAAAAATAATTTTTAAATAATTATCAAACCATATAAAAACAATTTCTAACCATTAAATGTGTATTTAATAGCATATTAAAGATTACTTTTCAAAATATTTTTTGTTTAGAAATATATTAAAAAAATAATTTTTAAATAATTATCAAACCATATAAAAACAATTTCTAACCATTAAATGTGTATTTAATAGCATATTAAAGATTACTTTTCAAAATATTTTTTGTTTAGAAATATATTAAAAAAATAATTTTTAAATAATTATCAAACCATATAAAAACAATTTCTAACCATTAAATGTGTATTTAATAGCATATTAAAGATTACTTTTCAAAATATTTTTTGTTTAGAAATATATTAAAAAAATAATTTTTAAATAATTATCAAACCATATAAAAACAATCCAAAAACATCCAAAATTTTTAATTCAAAACTAAAAAAAATTAATTTTTTTTTAAATCACTGTTATACCATAATAATGCCAAATAAAGCCAAAAAAGAGAAGAATATATTAATCATAAAACACTTTAATTTGCAATGGAGTAGCGTATAAATACCAAACGAGTACTAATGATAGTATAACATAAAATATCCAGCACATAGAAGGCCTAAATAATTTTGTTGCACCAATTCTTATGAAATACTTGCAAGGATTACCGGGGGAATATTTTGAGTGATTTCGCTGCAGTTCTTTCTTTCCGTTCGCTATCGAAGTTTTGAATCAGAAACTAATGTTGCTAAATAATAGAAGTACTAGAGAGATGATAAATTACAAATTGTTTTTCTTTTTTTAGACTCGGTAGTGAAAGTTTCTCACCAATGTGCTTATGTGATATCAGCGCACAAAACCCAGCCCAGGACCGAATTGCCGAACAAAATACGCCACTAACTGGGCATCAGGGGGGCCTGGAATGCAGGCTGTTTTCCTAGATTCTGGTAAAAAATCATCTGGGACTGGAGTTTTTCTTCCACAAGGGGCGGGCACCAACATGCAATCCAGGAAGAAGCCAGGTACGGCATCTTATTGAATCTTCGTTAGAATGATGCAAGTGTCTGATCCACAAGACAACCATGTCCACGTGCATGCGGGTACTTTTCACAATCATTTTTAACAGTGAAGTTAACTGAACCACTAAAAAATAAATAAATAAATAATGGAAATAACAAGGCAGGCAGGCAAGATAAACTGAGCTTACATGTAAACCAAAATATCCTGCTAAAATGAAGAGGCACTGGAAATATCAGTACTGATCTGGAGTCTTTCATGATTGTGCAGCTTGCGCTCGTGTTCTCCTTCCTGCACGGGTTGTTCAAGCTCTTAATCTCAACGTGCATGAAATAGGCTTGCACATAACACGCCGGCAAGGTTAGGCTTATTCACTTTTGGTCCTTATCTTGTACATGTATCCTTTTGGCTTTATGATAGATTTGTTGCCGATAATTGTCTTATTGCCAGATGCCAAGAATAAATCGAAAGGCAGAGACTGCAAATCTTTCAAGAATAAAAATAGCAAGGATGTATCAACACAATGTAGTGTTGTATCAAATAACGAGAATTCGTCGCCAGAGACATTTCTTCCCGAAGAGTGGACTTACTAATTCCCAAAGGGGCTGCCATACCACAGTGCATCAAAGCAAGAGCTCTCGTTATGTTGTGCAGTTAAATATCATGTACAATGTAAATTAAATAATAACAATAACAGCACTCTATCTCCTTTATTGTTTATCCCAATTCCAAAACTTCATCGGCATGAGACAGTTTTTATAGCTTGCATATTGGTAAAACATTTAATAGGATAGTTGATTCAGGGTTTAATTTTGAATTGTTTTTTTCAAATAACATGATGCAAGTTGTTAGTGGGTATTACAGGAGCATGCTATGATTTGATCACCTGGTAAATGTAGAAGATCTAGTAAACAAAAAGGTCAAGAAAACAGTATAAAGCTAACATGCAGCTTTCTAGTAGGATAAAAATATCAAAGGAAACTACCAGACATATATTGATAAATATATCTATAGAAATAATCGACCTTAGAGTCAAGGCTGGTGAATAAATAGGTCAGTTACTTACAAGCAATGCTGCATAGGTACATCGTAGTTAAAGTGAAGCATGATCAGAGGCGGCACAAGAAAAGCTGCTCTTTACAATGATGAAGAGACTCATTCTTCAGTTAGGATCTTGGATGCGAGGCCCTTGACTACATGGCGACATTGAAACCTGCAAGAGAAATTCATGTCACTTTGTGATGTTGAAATCTTGTCTCATAAAATCTCATATGGCGTCAAGAAGCCAGCGACACAAACTGCGTCAATTCGCCCCAGCTTCTAGATTATAAAACTTGAACCATTATTACACATTGTTATAGAAAAAAATCCCTTTTTTTATTGGAATCGCAAAAGGCACACAGACCAAATGATCCTGGACTATAATTCCCACTCCTTCCTCATTTCTGACCATGAAGCTGACAAGACGAAACCTTCACACTGTTCATTTTGGGGTGGTTCACGCATTATTGAATTTCATTTTCTGCTCTTCAAGTTATTCAACTGCTATGTGTTCTCACCATCAGAGTCAAACACATTTCAATCATCTACTAAACTTGAAGCTCACAAGGTCAGATAATTCAAAAACTATTAATTATATCAAAACAGCAGTCTGGAAGGCACAATCTGCTAAAAAAACAAGAAAGTAATCAAATAAAACAATAATTTGATGTTGATGCATGCTGCTCGTAATATAGAGGAGTCAGAGTATGAATACAATAGTGCTCCCACCAATACAACGGATGAGAAGCACTGATATTATGATCTCAGCTATACTGCATTTTGATTAATCCAAAAATGTCAAGAAGATTTTTTTTTTGTTTACGAATGCGTCCTCAAGGCTTCAGATAGAGAACTTGCAGGATATTGTACGTAATGTAGAAAGACACACATGAATGGCTACAGAACTTCATACAATGATGCTCAACAGTTGAAGAAAAGATGTGCTTGAGAACTGTCAAGGTCAGGATGGCGCATGCATTCAATAAACAGAATGCAGCCAAAATTAATGTAATTGTATGAAATTCATTGCTACATTAACATGATTTTCTCTAAGCGTAGAGCAAAGATCAAAACATTATTAGCCAATTCAAAGGTTAAAAAAGGTGGATTTACATTTCTGAGCTAAGTAGGATGCTTGATGTTGTTATGGTTGCGTTAGTGATTGTTTCTTAAAGTGATCTTTGATATCATAGAATGTAAGACATGCAACTAAGAGTAAATCTATTTTGCTATTTGTGTAGCCCAATCCACGCCTTTTTACAGTATCTGAAGTCACGTTTTGGAAGAAAATGCAGAGGCAAATTGAAAGAAGCTGGAGCTTTCACCAACAGAAACAATTTAGTAGGACCTACAGAAAAGAACAAACACAGAAAACATCAGTGTTGACTTCCAGCAGATTAGCTGATAATGACAGGATAAGCTTTACCAGCTACCCGGATAGGAACTTGATCCAGCACCCTTTGAGATCAAGGCACGAGCAGCCTGTTGAAAGACATTTAAAGTATAAACCATTATCAAATATTTTCGAATTTGCCTTTATGAGACCACAAACAAAACACACACTCTCACAAAACCTTTCTTGAAGCCCTTCTGCAACTTTGCTTTTAGTGAAACCACCATCATCGCCTGCGACAACATTTCCACGCAAAAAACACGATTCATGTACATGCTGGGGCTGTATTGGACTAGCTCCAAGCACTAAAATTACTTCCTCAAAGCAAAAAACCTCACTAATTATGAGTGGCAACACGCTCTCGAGCCCACCCCCCGTGTTCACCAATTTCTCCAGTCTCCTAATCCCACACTTCACCTCTCTCATTCTGCTAAGGTGATCTCGTCTAACGGATAACTTCAATTAAGTTTGCGTAATTGCCATCTCCTATAAGTAAAAATTTTTAGGCTTCAAAGAATAATAAAAATAATAAAACAATGTCCAGAATCAGATTTATGTAGCAAATAACATACCAGCTCTTTATATTCTGTTTGCAAGGTATCAAATTCAAGACTAATATCCTGCTAAATCCTGTATCATCGTGTAACGAAGATATTGTAGAGCATTTTCTAATTCGATTCTTTTCACCAATACTTTCCATTTTTTCCCTAACAAATGCTTTCATATTAACAGATTAATTTCGAAAATTCAAAACAAAACGCAGAGATTAATGACGGGCCTAAAAATTATTTTAGAATAACCTGATCAGGAGTTGAAAGGAAGAAAACTTAGAATTAGGGGAATTCGAAGAGAGAAGCAACTTAAGAAGGGATTTTCTGATGCATATAGAGAACAAAAACCTATAACGCTTCTAGTGACATGGAAGATAACCCAGTTATCGATCGAGTCAGTGGTGGTCTCGATCTCTGTAAACTCCAAATATGAGCTTCCCTCCCTTCCATCACCGTTTGCTTTTACCGAGAGATGATGGGGCTTTTTTGAATAGATATAAGGGCGGGACGGGTGCAATCGGCTTTTATTACTGGGCTTGGACCAAGTCGCAGAGAAATCCAGTTGCTGAAGTTTATTTTCCCAAATCCCTGGTATGGTTAATTTCTCTTGAAAAGTGATGAAAAGGTGCATTGATAAAATCTCGAAAAATATTTTGAACTTATTTTAAAAGGAAAATCTAAAAATCAAACCTTGAGAATTTTTTAGGCATTTGGGAATTAATTTTTTAGGAAAAGATTTTAATGAGGTAAGTTACCAAACATTTTATATTTTTGACAACAATAGTCACAGCTGCTTTCACAAGCACAAATTTTGAATTGACGTTAAATCCCACTCATGTACAAGACATCTTTGTTCTAGAAAATCCAAGAAAACGAAACGCAGTTGAATTTGAATTCACTAAGTGAAAGCTATATGGCTTCTGGTTTGGGATTTTATATCAGAAGGAAAAAATCAATAATGGCACGACATTTTTCAAGGTTGTCAGAGGTTCATTCAATCCAGAGCATCAGCTTCAAGCAGCAACATGAACCAGGCCCTCCCCTTCCATGGCCAGGTAGAATTATGTTTTGTGTCCACCCGTCCACAAATACCCTGAACACACGCTATACTCATGCAAGGGGATAGAAGACAACCAAAAACTGAGGCTCAGAATCCACTCTTGCATCATTTAATCTGTAAAATAAGAAGACATCTATCTTTTTACTTGCACAACTGAAGTTGGCAGTTCCTGGTGCCTACCCTCCGAGGTGTTGCACGAAGGAATACCAATCAACAGTTGCCATTTGAAGAGTCTCTGCACCACAGGAAAAACAAATTTATTCATCAGGAACCAGCAATTTTTACACGAGGCGGGATTTCCTTTTATGGGCTAATTTATTATCACCTGAAAAGGTGATTGCAGCATCATCATGTTACACGCCATACCGCCTTAGGGCTTTGCTCAAACTTGGCATAACATTATATGCTTGATAAGATCTCCTTAGTTCAATAATAGAACCCACCTGGACCACCAATAAATGTGAAACGTTAGGAGAGGTGCAGAATATGACAGTTGTGCAAACCACCATAATTGATAAATTATTTACACAATTACAGTATCCTTTAGGAGTTTTTGTTTCTCTGTCATGCCTCCATGGTGCAATTCCATCATCAAACAGTCTAAAATAACAAAGCCAAGTGAATAATACATAATCATAAGGTGTCAGTTGGCACTCACGATAATTAGAACCGATGTAAACCCAATTGCAAATCCCTCATTGATCCGACGCAAGTAATGATCGAGAATGGTTGATGTAGTTGCCAGTACACTCAACAATAGACCTCCTGCAGGATCCACCCATTCCAAAAAAAAAAATGGCAAATTTTTTTTAAAAAAAAAGAAAAGAAAGGAAAAGATATGGCTCGAGATTGTAGTTATTCATTACATAAATAACTTGCAGAGGCAAATGTGTACCCCAGAAACGTGTTGATGCCTGGATCTTTGTGAGGTACTCAATGGTCGCCTTCCCAGGTTTCACATTTGGGATCCTAGCTCCCATTTTGTTCAAGTAATCTGCAATCTCCTTTGGCAAGTTTGCCTGTATAGGATCTCCAATTCAGAAACATTCACAAATAGGAAACAACAAATCATAGCAAGTGTGCTATGTAAAGAACAAACTTAAATAGGAACTTTTGCATTTAGAGTCAAAATGGTCCATCTATCTAGCTTGACATGTTTTCTTGAATAAATTAATTTCACATTTTCTGCAGAAAAGATATTGACAAGAAGTGGCTAAAAGGAAATCTTGACACATAAAATGAAAGGATCACAGGACAACAAACACATATACTAGCAAAAGTTTCCATCACATAGCATGTATGATATAATAATTCAAACAAGGATGAGTAGAAACTTACAATGTCAAATATATTGAATAAAAAGACAAACAAAGCATATATTGAATAGTAAACCCAGGGCTCTGCACCAATAGAAGTTTCAGGGTTCAATATCTCCTTAACGTGCTCCCAGAAAGGTGAACCAAGGATACTGCCACAAATGCTATGTTAGAATCCTTACAAACACAAGATTTGGTGAGAAGCGACAAATATATTCATGCTGTTGTCAGGCACAAAGGCACTGCAAACTTGAAAATCTTATAATTCCATGACAAAAGCATATCTAATAAAAAGATAAGCAGCAAGTTTAAGAGAATAGATATGAATTTTTGCCCTTAATATTCAAAATGAACAGGTCAATAGGAAACTATATCTAAATCAGTTTAGATGAAGTTACCCGGCAAGAATACTGGGAACAGCCAAGAGATAAGTTGTGGTGAGAAGAGGCTGCATTCCAGATGGATTAATGTTGAAAGGGATATAAGGCTCCACTTCAGTAATTGGGGAATCATCCCTGTCCAATACACAAAGAGAATAATGTCATATAAGCATTACTGACATAATTAAATTGAGTTAATTCATGAGCAAAGGGACATATTCTTCATAATTGCTTAAACTTTAGTATTTTTTAAAACAACAGGTCGTGTATTTAACCATCCTCTAGATCCACTCAAGAATATCCATCTCCAGAATCAAGCACTTCAAATAACATGGGAAAAAAGATAAAAGATCATAAAAGTGAATTTATGTAATCTGCATTTTGTTCCACCCAAAAAGAGGCTAAAAGTTCTGGAGAACTAAAGTATTACCTTGCAGCAGATGCAAGTTTAAAGCCATAGTATTGCAGCTTTATTTTCCTGCAACCTTCGGTCACCACAACTGCCCACATAGTGACAATGGTAAAAACACCCAATACTGCGAACATATAAGGCCACCAACTAGCAGCACTCCCTACAGCATGCACAAAAAGCTCATGATAAATACTCTGAGCTAGTATGTGGACAAGATACGCCAAAACACTCAAGAAAGCTTCATGTTGATAAAAGCCCACGCTCCCGCTTCGTATTTTTAATTAAATACAACCATTTGGGTTTTGCACCAGGCACACTCATCATGTGATTTTGCAAAGGCTGGTTTTAAGATACAATAATGCAGCATCCTACTCTCTACTTTGCATGTATAGAATTTCAATCCAGTGATCATCAGGGTTTTGGAAGTATAATGTTTGGCTTGAAGTTCAAAATGTTTTACTCACACTCCGTATCAATTTTTACATTTTACCATTTACATACAATTAGATGTTGCTTTTCACTGTCACATGCTCATCAAAGTACACAAAAAAAAAAAAAAAACAAGAAGAAGAGATTTTGGGCATCAGTTGCATGATCTCCTGTCATGTACCTGAGAGCTGAGACAGCATCTTGTATAATGTTTCAGTGTAACCCGTCAGGATTCCCACACAAATAATTAGAGATGAACCTTGACCTGAAATATGCTGAAGAGTTAAAAGCAAGCTAGACAAAAGAGGAAAACAATGAACAAAAATAAGAAAAAAATCACAAGGATAGTACCAAATCCAGATTCTGATATCGTGTCGCAGATCCATGTCATAGTCATTGCACCGCAGACCAACAAAAGAGCTGTCACCATCACATGCTTGACCCTACAAAACCATGAAGATTTTACAAAACAAGCTACCTCTAGGCATTTATTGGATAGCTATTCACAAACTTATAAACATCAGAAATGAGGATCACATGCATTAAGAATAAAATGAGGCAGAAAAGTTTTACTCCAACTGTTGATAGAAACTTGTTCTTTCCAATTTTTGTGGGACAAATTAGAGTCTAAAGTCAAAAGGAATATAGTGGAAACAGCATTATCACTAAATTACCTTTGACTGGCTGCATAAACTGAATAAGGAAGTGAATAGCAAGCAACTATGATTGCCTCAAATATTGCAAAGCCGAGTGATATCCACCATCTGAAATAGATAAAGGGAAAAAAAAATGCTTGATTTGTAACCTACAACATAATTGACTGATTCAATATAACATGCAATTTAAGATCCACTAGCAAGGACTCGTCTCACTGCTTGAGAAGAATAACTAGACACACATATAACTCTTAATCTTCTCATGGCCATCCAAGCCTTCTTTCCGCAGCTTTACCAGGGATGGAACAACATGGCAGAGTACCTGAGAGTCCAGTTCATGAGAATTAGAACGATTTTAGCTGTTCAGCCAAGTATATAAATGTACCAGTCTATAAAATGTTTAATGCATGAACTCAAATACTATTAAAATTAGTTAGCATATATATTTTATTATGCTATCACATATCTGAAGTGCCAATACTAAAAGAACAAAATAGAATTTGTGAGATTTCATTAGGTAGATAAACATTGGGAGAAAAGAGCATCTGATTTGTTGATTTTATCTTCTTGAAGAAAGGCAAGGGTTTTAACTGTTGGATACCATTGAACTAAAGCAATAAAGATTTTTTTTAAATAATCTAGCTAGCAGCATCGCATTCCATCAAACTTAATTATGGAACAGCGATTTTTAAAATGGAAGGCCAAATATCTCGGAAACAAAAATTTCCTTGAATATCCATCAACTTTCAATAGCCCTCACTATCCCACAAACTTTATGAAGAATCAGCGATCACAAACACCAGAAGCACTTTTTAATCTAATCATGCACCAACAGACAGTGATGATTCATTTACAGAAACTGCTGCATGTAATCTGCTAAAAAAAAAAGAAGGATAAGAGAGGATTTTCATCTGTCCAATATCTTGGTAAAGAGAGAAGCATTCTTCCGCCTCTGAATACTGCTTCGTATGTGAAATCCACAAATTGCTTTGAGAAAAAGAGAAGGCAAGGACCATATAGAGTGTGGTGATGCAGAACAGTCTAATTAAGAAATGTGTTATCTGGCCAAAGAAAAAGCTCAAAACCTGCATGAGTATTGATGCTAATATCTGAGGACTGATTCCAAGCTGAAAGAATGACAGTTTCAGTTCCGTTGAGAAATCCAATTCATCTGCCAAACAGCATAACAAGTAACTCAATCAAACAAAATTAAAAACACTAGCTTTGAAGTCCCAGCAGATTTGATCTAAAATGATAGACATGGTTATTTAAGTTTAACTTACCAACAGATCCAGTGACAAAGCTTAGATAATCTCGAGGTATCAACCTTCTATCAAATCCAGGCAAAGGAATATAATATCCAACACGACCAATTACAATTAGGACAGCTGTCACAAATAACCTCCTTCTTATCTCACTCTTGAAAAATGATTCAGCAGCACTATTGATAACAGAATTCATCCGACCAAAATTGAGGAACCTGTTTCGAAACATTTTAGGTGGGGATTGCAAACTATTCAAGTTATTGACATCAAGCAGATTGAGAAGAGCAGCCCCGTCATCAGATCTAGGTGGTATGGCTTCATGTACAGGCGATGCATCAGCATTTGCATAATCAGTTCGATGCTGATCTGAAGAATTGATAGAGATTTTTTTGTTTGCTCTAAAAATAATAGGTCTGTTACGTAACAGGAAACGCCTTCGGCCAGATTCTTCTAGATTCATCTTATGAGAAAAACTATTTTTTGCACATAGGGGATAGCATTCTTCAAGTTTCCTTCCAGTCCGTTGATCTGCATCGGTCACATGATGTGTATTCAACCATCAGAAAGGGGGGAAAAATAAAAATAAGCAAAGAATGCCATTCATATTGATCAAGTAGCTTAAATTGGAACATTACAACCTATCACAACCTTAACAAGACAAAAGATAAATCACTCAACAATACATTTTAGCTGGAGTACATTTCGATTATTCTTTAATCGGGTGGTAATCAATCAATGGCTGGATTCGTATATCACCCAAATAAACGAGTTCATCGACATTGACAAAACCGAATGCTACGTGGTTTCACCGAGACATCCCTCATTTCACATTAAATTTAAGACTGGACAGGAAAGGATACTGCTTTCAGAGTACGTAATGATAGCCATCATTTTCCACAGGCTAATTCTTGCCACTGTTCGCTCGGCCATGTTGGTCATCAAGCTATTGCAAGCAATTAATTTCATAATTCGAAATACAAAATATGCTAAAACTCAATACCAAGCTGGTATTCAAAACTGAGAACTGAGGCACACCAAAGCTGAGATTTGGATTCAAAAGATGCTAAAACAGCTATCGTAACCCTCGAATTTATGCACAGAAAAAATTAAAAAAGAATGAAAAAAAGAGGAAGAAACAACAGATAATCCCTGACTTAGCTTCACTTTCCATTTTCAATCTCTTCGTTACCTCGAAAATTGAGGGGTTTGAATCCAAATACACGAGGCGTGAAGCCAAGAGTTGCTTCCATGAGACGCGATGCCTGAGTCCCTCTAGTCCCTCGACTTCACTTCACTTCAAGTGTCTCTCCCTAAAACGCGCTTGCTCATTCTCGCTGATAACTCTACTTCAGGGAGAAAAAAACACACTTCTTTTTGGCTCCAGGCGGTGCTCAAAATAAATATCAAGATGACTGACGTGTCAGTTGTGTTGTATGTATAAAGTACATTTTGCCTCCTTTGGTTTTTCGCTTCTTTCATTTCGTCCCTGCCTTGCTTTAAAAGTGAAACATTTCACCCTATAAAGCAAAATGAAAAATCTATTTGCTATTTTTATTTTGGATCTCTTGGGAAAAAAAGAAATTGTTCTTTCTTTGGATTTTTTTTGTTTGAAAAGGATTAAATTTGATGAATATTATATTTTCTTTTAAAAAAACAATGGCTATTGTGAATGGTTTGCTATTATTAAATATGTTAAAATTAAATATTTTTTTTGTTACACTGCAATAATTAAACATAGTTTAAATCTTGAATTATTAATATATTAAATAATAAAATTAAAAATAAAATATTTTGAAAATGAAGGAAATTAAACCATAATCTCCATCCTTTTATTTCAAAAATCCATAACAAATGCTCCACCTTCACCCACCAATACCCCCCTCCTCGTGCATATTGAGATTAATTAGAGCGTGTTTAGTTGGATTTAATCTATATTTTTTAATTATTTTTAAAAAAATATTAGTATCAATTTTTTTTAAATACAATAAGTATTTTAATATATTTTTAAAAAATAACCATTATTATATTTCTAAACACCCTTAGTAATGGTTGGATTGAAACGAATTGCTTTTAATTGTATATTTTTCCTCGTGCATGTAGTAATTAAACTCATGATTAATATTGAAATATAAAAATAAACAATAGGGTCCTAACTGAAACATTTTAATAACTATGGTGACCAAGACGCACTTTAGCCTATTACAGTATCAATATGTTTTCTTTAAAGCCCTAAAGAACACCCTCTCTGAATCCACCCCACTACCCAACCACCACCACACTGCCGCCTTGAACCACCACATACCGCTCGCTCTCTTCACTTGTATATTTATACGCAAAAATATAGTGTATATTGATCCGTATATAAAAACCAAACCATGAAGTTTCAAATCGAGGACGTGACCGTATACTTCCCGTACGATCACATATACCCGGAGCAATACTCCTACATGGTGGAGTTAAAGCGTGCACTAGACGCTAAAGGTCACTGCCTGCTTGAAATGCCTACGGGAACAGGAAAGACAATAGCTTTACTATCATTAATCACAAGCTACACTATCTCTAAACCTGAAGGCGCAATCAAGCTAATTTACTGCACTCGCACAGTTCACGAGATGGAGAAAACCCTAGCCGAATTGAAGTTATTGCACAATTATCAAGTCAAGCACCTCGGCCCTGCTGCCAACATTTTGGCGATTGGATTGTCTTCGAGGAAGAATTTGTGTGTAAATCCTAATGTTTTGGAAGCGAATAATAGGGATTCGGTTGATGCTGCGTGTCGGAAAAGGACTGCGAGTTGGGTTAGGGCTTTGGCCGCGGAGAATCCGAATGTCGAGACTTGTGAGTTTTTTGAAAATTATGAGAGGGCTGCGTCTGGTGCTGTTTTGCCTCCTGGGGTTTATACTCTTCAGGTAATTTATCTATTTATTTTTTATTTTTTTTGTAAACTTGATTAATAGTGTTTTCTAATTGATTTGTTAAAACAAGATTACTGAGATGCGAAGGAATGTTTTTGATTCGGCATTGTTTTGTTTGGTTTCCGTGGTTTGCAGGATCTAAGGGCATTTGGGAAAGAGAAAGGGTGGTGTCCGTATTTTTTGGCAAGGCATATGGTGCAGCTTGCGAATGTAGTGGTTTATAGTTACCAATACTTGCTTGATCCGAAGGTGGCTGGGATTATATCCAAGGAAATGCAGAAGGAATCTGTTGTTGTGTTTGACGAGGCGCATAATATCGATAATGTATGTATTGAAGCACTTAGTGTTAGTGTGAGGAGGCAAACTCTTGATGGAGCATCAAGAAATATCTCAAGGATTGAACAAGAGATTAACAGGTATGACTTATTTTTCTGTTTCCTTCTATCTCACTGGAAGTGTTGATGGATAGCCTGTATTTGAATGTTTCACACTCTAGATCATTTGTCACAGGTTCACAGAATGGCATTTGGGGCTGTAGCGCACACTATTAGTTTGATATTACCTTGAGCATGTATTACATTTCTAAATGTTTTGAGACATTTTTTTTTCTATTGCAAGTGCTATTTGATATTTGTTTTAATGTGCCTTGAATATGGATCTAGATGCTTATACTCTTGTTCAAATCTGACAAAAGGGGCCTTACTTTAATTATCTGTGGTGATATAAATGCCCTGATGGAATGGCAAAACTATTTCCTAGAATGAAGATTATTTATGTTTTATTTAATCTGTTTGGCATGTTAGGAAGGTTCAAGGCCACTGATGCTAATAGACTGCGTGATGAGTACAAGCGGCTTGTTAATGGTTTGGCATTAAGTGGAAACTTACCTGGTATGTCAAATGCTAAAGCATAACTGCTTGTGCTACTTTCTATTATAACCTAAGTTCTGACATGTTGTGCTCTTGCTTTCTCTTTATCTCTTTCTTCAGGCACAGATTCCTGGCTTTCAAATCCTGCCTTGCCTGATGATATTCTGAGGGAAGCGGTTCCTGGAAATATTCGCCGGGCAGAACATTTTTTGCATGTTTTACGAAGATTGCTCCAGTATCTAACAGCGCGGTTGGATACTGAGAATGTTGAGAAGGAAAGCCCTATTAGCTTTGTTGCCTCCATAAACAACCAAGCTGGAATCGACCAGAAAACACTAAAGTTTTGTTATGATCGTCTACATTCACTTATGTTGACGTTGGAAATAACCGATACAGATGAGTTCTTGCATGTCCAAACAATATGTGACTTTGCAACACTAGTGGGGACATATTCTCGTGGATTTTCCATCATAATCGAACCTTTTGATGAGAGAATGCCACATATTCCTGACCCTGTATTACAGGTTCCTCCTAACTTTTCTACCTCTACACCTTCATCTTCATTTTAACTTATTGTATAATATTTTTTTTATCAACGTATATTTTCATTGTAGGGAATAGTTATATGCTGGCAAACCTTGCATTATTCCATGAATGCTTACAATTATGCCCTTCATGTACCATACTAGACAAACATGCAGAATCTGCATAGGTGATTTTGACCTGTCTGTTAAGGGAACTTTTTTACTATCTGGTGTGACTCATTTCAGTAGTTGCTGCTTTACCTCCAATGTGCCTACATGTGCATAATATGTTTAATTGTGCTCCTCTTGTTCTAATTTATATGAGTTTTGTAAGCATGCTACAACTGCTTATTTTGTCATGTCCTCTGTTTTATTTAGAATATCCTTTCTCTAGCATCTTTTTTTCTCACACCTAGTCTTTATTCACCTTGTTTGTTCCAGCTCAGTTGTCATGATGCTTCTCTTGCCATAAAGCCCGTGTTTGACCGGTTTCAGTCAGTCGTAATTACATCTGGAACTCTAAGCCCAATTGATCTGTATCCCCGACTTCTTAATTTCCACCCTGTTGTCAGTCGAAGCTTTAAAATGTCCTTGACAAGAGATTGCATATGTCCAATGGTTCTCACTCGTGGAAGGTATGTGGTTGGAGACGAATATTTTATTTGTTTAAAGAATCCACCATTGTTTTAAGATCAAAGTGGTCTGTTGTATTATGTGAAATTTTTGTTTCTGATTGCAGTGATCAACTTCCAGTGAGTACCAAATTTGATATGAGAAGTGATCCTGGTGTTGTAAGGAATTATGGGAAACTATTGGTGGAGATGGTTTCTATTGTTCCAGATGGAATTGTGTGCTTTTTTGTGAGTTATTCATACATGGATGGGATTATCAACACCTGGAATGAAAGTGGACTTCTAAAGGTGAAATGCATTCTTTCCCTTTACTTGGTGAAAAACCGCTATCCTTAACTATTCAAGCATCCCCTTGTCTTTTCTTTCTTTCTTTCTTTTCCCCCTAAAGGTGAAAATGTTCTATTGGTACGATATGTGTCTTCATTTCCTTTAGAGTACCTGATGATCTTGTTATTTCAGGAAATAATGCAACATAAGCTTGTCTTTATCGAGACCCAAGATGTGGTAGAAACTACTTTGGCTCTTGACAACTATCGTAGGGCTTGTGATTGTGGAAGAGGTGCTGTTTTTTTCTCTGTTGCCAGGTATCAGAATGCCATTGTTAAATCATAATGTCTTCGAGCATTCATATGGAAGCAGTTATGTGAAGGAGGTGTTGAAAATAATCTGATAATGATTGGGTGTCATGACCGAAGAGGTGGGATGTAGCTGACCCAATCATATTCTTTGTACTGTGATAACTTTTTTTAATCTGTCAATTGCAGGGGAAAAGTAGCTGAAGGAATAGATTTTGATCGGCATTATGGCAGACTAGTGATCATGTTTGGTGTTCCTTTCCAGTACACCTTAAGCAAGTGAGCTTCGTTGTATTCCTTCCCATCCTAGTTTTTTTAGCACATTATTTCTTTTAAGGTGCCCTGATTTTAGACTAGTGGAAGGTAGCCGAAGGAATAGAGTTTCCCTTGGTTCAACCAATTACACTAGCACTGTTTTTAAGGTAGGAAGTTTTTCCTGTGGAAATATATTCCCTTAGAGGTCAGGCTAACAAAATGGGGTGGATCAGCTGGGGATATAATGTCATGTTTCCATTGGCATAAATAGATGTTCTGTTGGGGTAATGTTCTACATTTGTGCAGTTCTTATGTAAAGGCTAGATTAAACTTTCATAATCAATTTGCTTGAGTTGCCATTATGTGAATGTATTGAGACAAGAATCTTGCAGGATACTACTTGCACGGTTGGAGTATCTAAGGGACACATTTCAAATTAAGGAAGGGGATTTCCTAACATTTGATGCCCTGGTATGATTTTATCCACATAATTATAAACCGAGAGCAACTTGAAATGGTTTGACCTTAAGGCTTGGAAGTTTATTTCTTCCTTTGAATTATAAATCTAATTAAAGGGATTTTGTCGATCAGAGACAAGCTGCTCAATGTGTGGGCCGAGTGATCCGGTCAAAGGCTGATTACGGAATGATGATATTTGCTGACAAGAGGTATGGAGTTAAAACTGTATAAATCCATTAATATTCTCTACTGGTAACATTTATTGCTCAACTCTCCACTAACACACTGACAGAGAGTGGTATCCACATGCGAGCGTGGAGAGAAAAGTATCACTTGGATATTTTAGACCTGATCTTAGTACTCGAGAGTTTTCTGTGCAAAAATGTGTGTAGCTCTCATAATGATGCAATTTTGTGCAGGTATAGCCGTCATGACAAGCGCTCTAAATTGCCTGGTTGGATTTTGTCTCATTTACGTGATGCACACCTGAATTTGAGCACTGACATGGCACTGCATATAGCACGCGAGGTGTGTCAACCACATTTGTTTTTCCTACTTTTGCTTTTGGGAAACAAGCAATTACCTGCTTAGACTTTTAACAATGAACTACCAAAATAAACAGGAGGCCATATTTCTGGTCTGCATTTGAACATAGCATGACGTTTTCCCATGTGAAGGGATTATACCTCTTCAACACATTCTCTTGTGAAACCATCTTTGTTCAGTTTTCTCTTCCCCGTCTAATTTAGCACCCTATGCGCCTGAAAGAGAACCCACAATAATGAGTTTCAATTAGGTATCTGCCCTCAATCGCCCGGGTTAAATTTGAATTAACTTGAAATAATATTGTTAAGTTATTTGAATAATTTTATATAGGAAGAATGAAATGCTGCAAGTGACGGGAGTCTTGCTCTGCTTTGTTTAAAGAAACTCTCTTTCGGGCTGAGGCATTCTATGACGCAAATAAAATTACTGTACTGCTAATGCAATTTTCCTTTATATGAAATTATTTCCCTTGAGTGCAGTTTCTTCGAAAGATGGCTCAACCATATGACAAGACTGGTTCTAGCGGTAAGAAAACCCTGTTATCACAAGAAGATTTGGAAAAGATGGATGACAGTGGTTTGCAGGCGATGCTGTATTAAGGATCTGAGAATGGGCACACCTTTCAAGTTGGGTTTGAAAACATCATTCCAATTTAACTTGTAAAATTTTGCCAGGGAACTTTTTCCAAATTTCCCCTGGGTAGTCCCTCATCTCTTGACTAATGTTTTTCGGTCATTGCGGACATTTGTCCCTTTTTTTATTTTATTTTATTTTTAGATTTACCGGCAGCTTTTGTTGGGCTTTGTAATATATGATGCATTAATGGATAAAATTGAATTGTTTGCCAAGGATACATGATACAATTATGTCGAAGAACCGTAAATGAATTCCTGCGATTCTGCTTGAGGCTGCCTCCACAAGCCAGACAAAAACCGGTTAATTTTGATGAGCTCGACGTAGGCCCATTTACTTAGGTTCATTTGTTTAATAAAAGGATTTTTTAAATTTTTTTATTTTTGCCTTAAAAGAAAACTATTTTTTAATAAAAAAAATCAACTTGTTTTTCATGAAAGAAATTTTTTTATTTTAAGTGGGAAATACCTTTCAGAAGTTAAAAATTTTAAAATGTGATGTTTTTTATTGATTATATTAAATTTAATTCTTAAATTTTTTATTGCTATATGTTTTATTTTGATTTTTTATATTAATTTTATCTTTTAAAATTTGATTTTTATATTAATTTTGATATTTATTTTTATTATTGTTATTAATTTTTTTATCAAGCTTTTATTGAAATTTTTTTATTTGTCTAATGTGCTTTATATTTTTGTATTATTATTTATTTTATTTGAAATAACTTATAAAACTATAATTATTATTTTTTAATTTTATTATTTTTCAATTTTTTATCTATTAGATTTTATCTTTATTATTTTGATTGTTATTTATTTGATTTGAGATAATTTATAAAATTAGATTTTTTAAAAAAAAATTATTTTTACTTAACTTTTTAATTTATAAAATTTATTTCTTATTATTTTAATAAATTTAAAAAAATATTAACAAGTTATTTTTTGTTTAATTTTTTATGATATCGTGAAATAATGAAAAAAATATTTTTTAATTTATTTTTTATAATACCATTAATAAAATGTTGAAGAATAATTTATCTTTTAGGAATTTATTCTCTACAAATAAATTAAACTAGTATTGTTTAATGAATTCCTGATCTTCATGGAAAGATTAGCTGCTCGGCTTTTCTCGGTTCTACTTTTATAACTGCTGAGTATCATACAAGCTTTGTTTATTGTTAGATTGCATTTCAGGGATAGCCACTTGATCTTAACGAGGATCCGAGCAATATGCTAAGTTATACACAAGTAAGCAGAATTTATCAGAAAGAAAAATGTCAGTTCGTTCGTCGGGTTTCCCTAAATATACAGCGAACGTCTCTACTCAATCAAGGGGTATTATTTGACGTATTGCCCTCTTCACCTCCACAATGCTCAACTTCTTTCCACTAACATTCTCCTTCACCTGCCAACATAAACTTAGGAGTTAGTCAAGGCATATAATTTTTATATTTCTGTTCACAAATTAACAAAACAAAAGCACAGAAGATGATGATGGGGTGTTTTTGCATGGTAGAAAGTAAAGGCATACCTTGGCCCTCAATTCCCCTACAAAGATCCCATTGTTCGAAGAAGACTGGACTGCAATAGTTTCTATCCTGAGCTCCCTCAGCATTTGCATTATGTCAAGTAAAAGCCCCTCTCTGTAGCCACATTTCAACTCTATCAAAGCGTCACTCTCTATTATCGACACCTCTACGCTGATCTCCGGTTCTGCATCGACCATCGGCTCTGGCGATGGCAATGAATCCACCGATTTGGGCTGGGCACGGCCAGTAGTATAATCCTCCACAATCCTCATCTTCCTCTTATCTGATCCTGGGCCAACACTCCTAGCCCGGTCCACCACTGTGACCCCATTATTTTGCTCATTCAAACTAGTGGAAGTGGTCATCGTCTGTGGTGGGTCCACCGATCTTGAACGTTGCTCACTCTCCATCTGTTTATTACGCGCCTCCAAATCCTGAATTTTCTGAAGTAATTGCTTCACGTATTCAATCGTGTCCCCTAATATTGATGCTTTATCCATTTTGGTCACGAATGGCACTAGTGACCTTAATATTATGAACCTCTCGTTTAACTTCTCTCTACGGCGTCGTTCGGCCAGCACGTGATTGGCACTGAGCTCATCTTGCGGGGTCCCCTTGCGGAACTTATTGGCTGCGTCACCGTCGCGTGACTTTGGGGAATTTTCTTCCCGGTTTTTGCTGTGAAGGTATGGTACGGTAAAAAGAATGTACTTTAGTAGCCATTGGGAGGTGGTCTCGACTGGTACGTTGAGGCAGGGATCCGTGCAGTTCATCCACTTGGTAAAAGCCGATTGGTTGGAGTATGCCTCGTATGCATTTGGCGATGCCTCTGCTGCATGCTCAATTGTCTGGTTTTGGAGGATGGTGGAGACAGTTTGGGAGTAGTGCGTGTCCTCTTGCGCCAAGTCTTCTAGCGTAGGCGATCCTGCAAATATATATATATATATATATATGTATAAAAGTTAAGCATTTTTTGGCAGAGAAAACCACTTAAAATAAGGAGAACTGGAATTTTGTGGGATTAGGTTAATGATGTGCGTGATTATGGATCAAGGGGTGCCGTGAAGGTTGAAGCTAACAGGACGTTTGAAGGGTCAGTGCCTGGTCAAGATTGTTTTGCATTGGTTAGTTGAAACTTGAATGTTCGCTGGCAGGCAGTACTACACAACCAAACCCCAACATTTGCCTTAAATCTAGCACGTCTTTAAGGAAAAGGAACAGGCTGAACCAGTATACTACAACGTGCACAGTGCGGTGGTTTTTTGTCCCTGTTCACCTGAGACCCAATGAAGCAGGACTTTGAAGGATTGGCAAATGGAACAATCTGCTTTCTTCTGTGAGCCATAGACAAGCCTAGGGGTCTAAACTACGCACCGGCTATGTGGATTCAGGACTGAAAAGGATTACTGTAATATAATTGTTCAAAACAGTGATCGATCTGTTGATATATATGATCAAGGAAAGGATGATCATAACTAAATTTCTTAGATTTTTAATTAATTTTATTCTTTGTGAAAGATGAAAATTTGATGCCAGTTGTTTGTACTCGAAACCGTAACTTTATAAAAGGCAACACCGTCAAAGGAGGGTAAAATTTAAAACCGTAGGGTCATCGTGGATGAGTGATTGCCTCATGTCATCACTGTCCACAACCCTAACAGCCAAATTTCTGGAACCCGATTTGTTGTGTTCGCTTCTCCTAGGAATCAACATGTGCAAACGCACACACTCTATTAATTTATTTACCTGAAGCTGATGGTTGAAGGCTACCACTGAAAGGGTTGTCTTGCAACATTGGCGCCCACCTCCGGGCAGACTCCGTTCTAAACGAGTCAGCTCGGCTCTGGTGATTCATCAGGCTCTCTGGGCTAATAAAAGGAAAATCCAAGTCCAAAGTATTAGATCCATCATCAGGAGAACCAAGCCTGATACCCTCAGACATCTCAAGTTGCATCAATTCGCTCGGCTCAACTACTGCCACTTGAAGAGGGTTTTGAGCCTGACACGGTTCTAAGAGAGCTTCGCGACTGGTTTCAGCTTCCAAGTCTGACTCCTGGTCCTCTTCGTCATCCTCATCATCATCTTCTTCTTCTTCTTCTTCTTCTTCTTCTTCTTCATCCTCATTCATTTGGCCCGCATTGGCTGGTGGGTCTGCAGCCACAAGGAAGGGAGGAATGGGTGGAGAATATAAGTAAGGATGGTCTGATGAGGTGGCAGGGTTGGAAGTGGAGTGCTCGGATAAAGCTGGTTTTGGCGGAGGAAGGTGGTGGTGGTCACTGAAAAAGGATTTTACGTGTTGGATAAACCCAAGATCCTCTTTCATCTACAAAATGTCAATGCCCCGAATTGTTATACAATTTGAAGCACTGGTATGGATAGCTATAAAAAGAAACATTCAAAAAAATACAGCACAGGTGTAATTCTTTCACCTTGTCGGTTGTTCCAAATTCAACTACGCCATCAAGGAGAGGGATGCATACCACAGTCTGCATGAACACACACACACACACGTTAACATGTAAAAATCGTGTGTGAAAGTTATAGCTTGGATCTAGAAGAAAGAAAAACAAAAGGCAAGCACATAGTAAATGATGTAATGACATGGGTGATCAGTAAATTTACCTGAACTCCAGCACTCTAGTACAACATTATGATGGATCAGGAGGTTCATGAACAGAAAATGAGAGAGAAGGCAGTTAGTTTTTTTTTCTAGTAAGAAAAATTGTAGGTAAATTGAAATTAAGAATGGAATGATGAAAAGAAAAACATGTAATTAACCAATAATTTTCTTGTTTATTTTTTATTTTTTGAGGTACACGTGTTACAATGATCATGTTTCGTACACATCATGATCAAAACTTTGCCTACCTTCCTGGCTAGCTAATTCATTCAAGGACCAATTAATTATAGAACCAGATCATCAAAATGAAGGCAGATCGAAGCAAATAATACCTTGGCAAGGATAGCTCTAGAGAAAGTTTTGCTATCAATATCGTTTGCACCTGTAAGCCACACATGTTGTTTCCTATCGTAGGCCTTTCCTGGTAACCTGCAAGTAAAATCCAAATATAATGATTTTCCATTGATTCTTATTACACAATATGCATGAACTAATATATTTGGCAAGAAACGGATTTCTTAGAGACAAAAAATAGAAATTGCATCAGTAAATGATTAATATATAAAGTCGCTTCCAACGTTGGATACATAAATATCTGACACAAGAGTACTGACATGCTTCATTGCCGCACTTCATTAATTCCATATCATTTATTACTAAGAACAGAATTTTGTGAGCAGCAATTAATCAGTTATTTGATAGCCTAGGCCGTAAAAGCTGCAGCATTAATGGAGTTCATGAACAAGAACCAAGAGGAGATATGAGAGTTTGGAGTGAAATTGTGCGTGGAGCTAGAGAAGACGAGCTGCCACATATTCCCATTTGATAAGGGTTCTAGGTAGCTCTGTGTCTTGTCAAAATAGATGGCATCTATGGCCAATACTAGTGAAGTTGGTCACTGGCCCAGTTTTGAAAGTACCCCTCAAATTATCTCAAAATTCACCAGTTCTCCTTTTTACAGTCTCTAGAATAGTTTCCCCATCAATCTTTGTCGTAGTTTTCAATCTAAACTCCAAACCATATTTACGTACCGAGGTGCACTTTCATGAACATTTTTAACCAGAATCTCAGTATGCTTTACGTAGGAAAGAAGGTGGACATTAAAGCTCGCTCACCTAATCAACA